TCTAGGACCATTCCCCTAACTCCATAATGTTCTAGGATATAAGAAGTTTATGTGGTACCGTTTCGAAAGCCTTAGGGATGTCCATATAGACTACTACTACTACTGTCTTTTCACTATTGCCCATACTCTTTGTGATTTTTGACGCAAGATGTTAAATAGCATCCGAAGTACTGATTTGAGGGGATTAGCCCTTTAATGGCCTTTCAAATATTTTTCAAAACCTAAAACAGGCGACGAGGATGGTTCTTGATGATACCTAAAGAGTTTACTAATAAAGTGAAAATATAAATTTAAATCGGAATCGAAACTCTGCGAAAGATTTGACATTTGACTGGTTATTTCCAACTCCAGATTAACTTTCCAACCAGCTAAATTAGAAATTGTAGAAAGGTATCAATATCTTAAACGTGACCAAAAGGAGCTCGAATCAATAAATGAATATGCCATAGTTGAAAAAGATGGCAATTACATGTAATTTTGGGGCGTTTCTACAGGAAGTCTTGAAGGACAGACTTGTGGCAGGATTCAAATGCAAAAATTCAGAAAGAAAATTTATTGAAAAAGAGAAGTTATCCAAAGCACTTAAAGTGGCAATAGGTCTGGAATCGGTGGAAAAAGAAGCAAAAGAGATGCAGAGAATGCAATTATACAAAACAAAGTCAAGAAGAAAAACATCATGATAGAAGACCGTTTAACTCAGAGAAAGAGGTATTAAGGAGTGAACCAGGGGATAGCTGGGATGAAACAAAGGAATCTAGGGATTGTTGTGAATGTAGTGGCAATGAACATTTTGGAAAATGCAAATATACTGATTATTCAAGCAAAAGTTGGGGGAAAAAAGGACATTTGATAAAGGCTTGCAAAGTGAAAAGAAAATCGGTATGTTATGCACAAGACATAGAGGAAGGAAGTGATGGAGAAAATGAGGAAGCTGGTTTAAATTATGGAGTAAGTGACAAACAATTGTTATATGCATCCGAGCAAATTTTCAAGGTACTTATGTAATTCATTTATGGTTAAAGTTGAAATTGACTCGATGGACTTTGAAATGGAAATTGATACTGGTGCTTCTATATCTTTGATTACTGATGCTCATTATACAAGGTATTTTTACCATTTTGAATTGTATGAATGTAAAACAAAATTGTATACATTTGCTGGAAGTAGTTGTATTAAAGAATTGAATATTTCTCTTCAATTTGGAAATCAATTAACAACCAATAAGAAAATTGAACAGATGACATTGTGAGTGAATATGATAAAAAGTATCCTATTTTTTCTCAAAGAAATGGTAAACATAAAGGGGGTGTGCGCCAAAAATTAAAGTTTTAGTTTAAAAAAATCTAAGAATAGAGAAATATCGGTAACCCAAAGAGGTGCATGCGGTATTAGCGCCTACGTTATTTTGACATTAAACCTATGCGCGATTCGATTTTTAACACTACGTAGGTACTTAAATAACGTTACCGCATGACGTAATTTACCCAGCATTTACGTTGAGCGCTATTTCGAATAACGTCTAAAAATAACGTCGTGGAATAATAGGTTATGTTATGTTTATTGTTTATTTTATTATTTTTGATGTGTTCAAGTGAATATGGATTGTTCAAAAAATAGTAGAAAAGCAGATCCTCTGTCTCTGACTATGAACAACAGACAACACAAATCAAATCACAACAAGGTACAAGTTAGGCTACGGTTATAAAATAACGAATGCGAATAGGCAAATTTTACGTTAAACTGTTTTCCGATAACTCTAATTTGAAAGTATGATACCGCTTTACTTTAAAAAATAACTCCTGACGTTATTACCGTCCATACGCGCTATCTGTTTTACCGATATCTCTCTATTAACTGTTCAAACCTCGTTATTCTACGATAAACCATCGCTGAGATATACCGCTTTAAAGTGTGGACGACGCTCTCGTGACGTCACGAAAACTTCGTCCAGCTGAGCGCCGCATTGTTAATTTGATTGTTCCCGGCACGTGTCAGTGGTTTTTCTTTAGATTATTGCAGGTAACACAGGAGAAACATATGTAAATTTAATTAACGCCACTTTCTCAAGCGTCGCTTGAGCTTTCGTGACGTCATAGGGTGAGATGCGGTACCTTCATAGAGCCATATCTGGGGGTATTATTTGTCATAGAGGGCTGCGGATTTCACTGTTATTCTTAGATTTTTTTTCTCTTTTTTTTTAGATGAAGTTTTTTTGGCGCACACCCCCTATAAGGGAGCTAAAGTTGATATTGTTCTAGAAGATAATCTTACATCACTATACTGTGAAGCAAGACCTGTACCATATTCACTTAGGTCAAATGTATGTCAGGAATTGAACAAATTGGAAAAATTAAATATTATAAGGTTTTTACCTTAATTGATTTGCAAAATGCTTATCAACAACTAGGACTATCAGAAAAAGTGCAAGAGTTAGTTACTATTAATACCATACAAGGATTGTATATATTTAAAATGATGCCTTCTGGTATTACTAGTGCTCCAGCTATTTTTCAAGCCATAATGGACAGGGTATTATCAAAGAATATTATAGACTAACGTCTCTAGAAGAACCGTCCGGCGGCGAAAATATAAACCTGCGTGATGGCGCTAGTGTCCTAGTAAAATCAGTCGTTTCTGCGATTAAATTAATTTGAGGCACTAAATGCACGCGTATTTGCTAGGCTGCGTTGCCAAGTTTCTTTTGTATAACAAATTAAATGCCTTTGTGTTTTATATAGGTACTTATTATACATATACCTACCATAGAATAGGAATATTTTATAATTTAAAAAAAATAATAAATAGGTAAATAATTTTCGGTTACTAATAAATAGAGGAATAAAACACAAAAATTGTTTCTGTCTGTCTGTCTGTCTGTGTGTCTACCTATGTCCGTTATAGACTTTGAAACTATCCGATCGATGTGCCTCAAACCAGTTTAATGTTTAATATGAAAGGCAATAATAATAAGAAGGTTTTAGACCGCTAATGACAGGTGTCAACTGTCAAATTGAGACAGTTGCAGATTGAACCATATCTTCACAACGGATTTTGCTGAAATTTAGCATACACTTCAAGTTCAGGTGATTAGATGATAATACATTTTAGATCACTAATGACAGGTGTCAACTGTCAAATGTGACAGGTGCAGATTTTTGAACCATTATTTCGCAACGGATTTTGCTGAAATTTTGCATACACTTTAAGTTCGGATAATAATACATTTTAGACCACTGATGACAGGTGTTAACTGTCAAATGTAACAGATGCAGATTTGTGAACCATTTCTTCGCAATAGATTTTGCTGAAATTTTGCATACAGTTTAAGTTCGGATGATAATACAATTTGGAATACTCAACAGCTGTCAAATGTAATTTTTGACAGCTGTCAAAATATGACAGGTCGAGAGGTGAACAGGTTGTCAGGACTACCCCCGTCTTTGAAAATTTGCTTTTTTCGACAAATAGACAAATTTCAAAAATAAATAACCCATAATTTTGCACACCGATTTTCAAAATTTGCACACTTTTCTAGGGAAAGTTATATTGTATCAAAAATTTGCATAACCCCACCGGTTTTTAAAAAAATTGATAGACCCCTATGCTACTCGTTTCATCTTATTTTTGGACAATTTTGCACACCTATTTTCAAATTTTGCACACTCTTCTGGGAAAAGTTATGAGGTGTGATAAATATGCACTTTTTTCCCCGTTTATCTGAAACTTGAAAAATTCTTATGCTACTCGCTTCGGCTAATTTTGCACACCTTATTTTTAATTTTACACATTCCTCTGGGAGTTGAATGTTGTATTAATTTGCACGTTTTCCCTTGTTTGTCAAAAAATTGAAAAACCCTTGCTACTGCGTTCACTCAATTTTGTACGTTTATTTTCAACCCGAATTGAGTAACATAAAAATTTTTAATTTTCTCAAAGAACCGGCGGAAAAGTGCACATTTTGCAAAATTTGAAAATAGGTGTGCAAAGTTGTGCAAAATTAGGTGAACCTAGTAGCATAAGGATTTTTCAACTTTTTGAAAAACGAGGGGGGGGAGAGTGGGGAGACAAGCATAGGATTTTTTAATTTTTCGACAAACGGGGGGGAAAGTGCAAATTTTTAATGCCTTAATAACTTTCCCCAGAAACGTGCGCAAAATTGGCCAAAGCGAGTAGCATAAGCGCAACTAGGCTCCAAATTTGAGGGGTGTTGCAGCACCATTTTTTGTGGGTTTGTACTTACGTCATCATTTGCCTTTTTTTTAAAAAAATTGATTTTTTTATGTCTGAAATTTCAAACAAACATATAGTTTGTTTCACGGCACGCAAGTTTTTACTTACGTCATCGATGACGTCATAACTTAGAGAAAAAGTTATGTCATAGATTAATTCATGGAGCACCTTCGGAATTATTGTTTTGTAATACATTTTTTAACTTAGAAGAGAATTTATTCAGTTATCCAAATATATATAAATAAAATTTCTCCTAGAGTGATTTTTCACTGTAAATTTTTGAAATTTTCCTTCTGCCAGTTTTCCAGAAAAAATTTAAAATTAAAAAAATGAATTTTGGTTAAAAGTTAGTTTTCCAGAATTTCTTCTGGAGTGATTTTTTACTGGAAAATTTTGAAATTTTTATACATACATATAATGAACTTCTCACTTTCCTCTTTCTCCTGTAAAAATTTCAAAATTTTTCTTCTGCTAGTTTTCCAAAAAAAAAAAATGTGAGAGGAGGAATTTTCCTTAATTTTACTTGAAAAAGTCGATTTTCCAAGTGATTTCTCACTGGAAAATTTCGAAATTTTCCTATAATGAGCTCCTTATTTTCTTCTTTCTCTTGGAAAAATTTCACAACTTGTGCTTTATTAGTTTTCCAGAAATAAATTGAAATGTGAGAGGATGAATTTTCCTTAATTTTGCTTAAATAAGTCAATTTTCCAGAATTTTTCCTGAAGTGATTTTTTACTGGAAAATTTTGAAATTTTGTTTTAATGAGATCCTCACTTTCCTCTTTTTTCTGAAAAATTTCCACAATTATCCTTTTGCCAGTTTTCTAGAAAAAAAATAAAATGTAAGAAAATGAATTTTGCTTAAAAAAGTCAATTTTTCCTTAGTTATTGCATTTTCGAAAAACTCATAATTTTCGTAATTCCCCCATAACTTTTTCGTAATTTTCCCATAACTTCAAAAATCATAATTTTTTCGTAATTCCCGTAATTTTTTGTACTTATTTTTAATTCTCCTAATTTTTTAAAAAACTTCGTTATTTTTAAATTCTCCCCAAGTTTTGTAATTTTTATAATTTCAAAAATTCGTGATTTTCATAATTCCTATAATTTTTGTAATTTTTGTAATTCTCTTTATTTTTATAATTCCAGTAATTTTTCGTAATTCCTGCAATTTTCCGTAACTTTTCAAAAATTGTGAAAAAGTGAGTGTCAAAATTGCTGGAAAGTGACGTTGGAATAGAAGTAAAAATTACGGAAAAATGAGGTTGGAAATGTTGGAATTAGGCAATCCAACGACCTGTCCAAATGGCGTCTGGTTGGCAAACAATAAACAAAACACATAATATGGTTTTTTTTTTGGCAGAATTAAGCCTAGTACTCATAATTTGTTTTTTTTTGACATTGCATCGACAATTTGACGTTGAAAAAAGAGCGAATTTCGCTTTTATGAGTACCAGGCTTTATCAATACACGGGACGAGTTCTCAAATCTGACACTTTTCTGACATCGTTGACATGTAAAAACCCGTATTCTAACCTCATAAAAATTTCAAAATGCCGGCTGGTTGGCAAAAGTCACGTGGTTTGGATTCCCTAATTGCGAAAAAGTTGAGTAAAAATGGCGGAAAAGCAAGGTTATAATCGAGAAAAAAATGAGGTTATAAATACGAAAAACAAAAGTAAAGATTATGGAAAAATTAGGTTGAAATTGCGGCAATGTGAGGCGAAAATCGCGGAAAAGTGAAGGTTAAATTGCGAAAAAAAATTGTTGAAAGCCGTTATTTCTCAAATAAATTTCGTTATTTTTATAATTTTTCCTTAGTTTTTGCAATTTTTGCAAAACTCCTAATTTTCGTAAATTCCCATAACTTTTTCCTAATTTTCTTAATTTTTCGTAACTTTCCAAAATTCCCGTAATTTTTGAATAATTCCTGTTGTTTCTCAGTTTTTTAATTTCTGTAATTTCTCAAAATATTCAGTTACCTACTTATTTTATAATTCCCCCTAAGTTTTTGTTACTTTCAAAAATTCGTAATTCTCGTAATTTTCAAAAATTTTTTATTGTGAATTTTCATTATTTCCGTAATTTCTCAGATAATTCTCCCTATTTCTATAATTCTTCCTTAGTCATTGCAATTCTTGGAAAACTCGTAATTTTCGTAATTCCCGTAACTTTTTCATAAATCCCGTAACTTACCAAAAATTATCGTAATTTTTTCGCAATTCTCGTGATTTTTCCTTATCTCTTCCAATCTTTATATTTCCAGTAGTTCCTCAAATTTTCGTAATTTTGTAATTCCCGTAATTTCTCAAAAAAACTCCGTTATCTTTATAATTCCCCCCCCCCAGTTTGTTGTGATTCTCAAAAATTGGTAATTCCCGTATTTTTTTTTTCTTGGAATTTTCGAAAATTCTTAAATTTCCGTCATTTTTCAAAAAATTCTCGTTAATTTCATAATTCCCCCTTAGTTTTTGCAATTTTCGGAAAATTCGTGAATCCTGTAACTTTTTGTAATTCTTGTTATTTTCGTAATTTTTTGAAAATTGTCACAATTTTTTTAATTCTCGTAATTTTTTCGTATTTTTCATAATCTTTGAATAATTCCTGTAGTTTTCAGATTTCCGTAATTTTTTAATTCCTGTAATTTCTTAGAAAACTCCGTTATTTTCATAATTTTGAAATTATATAAGTCTCGTAATTTTTGTATTTTATTTTGGGAATTTTCGAAATCTTGTAATTCCTGTCATTTCTCGGGCGTTATGATCTATAACGCCCGCTTATAATACCTTAAGGTGTTTTTGTTTTTGTTGTTCTATTAATTTGCACTTTACCCTAGGCAGCCACTAAATGTCTGACCGAAAATAATTTTCGGTCTAGCCAGGATTCGAACCCGGTCTACCATCAACGTTTCCCATGTAGTCCAGCGCGTTAACCCACAGGACCACCACCGTTGCCTTGCCTTATGAGATGTTTATAGATATATCAATTTATTTCGTTTCTATGTACAGGTCGCAGGTACAGGTACAGGTCACAGGTGCAGGTACATGTCAAAATACAAATCAATATTCTGTCACACAAGTTTAACTGATTTTGTTAATAATAAATTGATGAAAAAATATTGGGTTGAGTAGAAAATAAAGCATTGTATGCACCACGGGGATTTCAAGATTATAATGCCCTTCAGGCGAAATATATCCCTCGGGCCATAGGCCCTTGGTCTAGTTTCGCCTTCGGGCATTATAATCTACATAATCCCCTTGGTACATAAATAGCTATTCTCAATTCCCGTAATTTTCATAATTTCTCATAATTCCCCCGCAAATTTTCGTCATTTCCGTCATTTTACTAGGTTCCGTAAATTTTTAAAATTCCCATTATTTTTCGTAATTCCCGTAATTTGACTTGTTAGTTTTCGTAACTTTTCAAAAATTAGTAATATTTAAATAATTGACGTAATTTTGGTGTGACTTCGTAATTCTTTTGCGTAATATTTGGCAATTCCCATAATTTTTGTAATTTCCCGCAATTTTTTGTTATTCCGTGATTCTCGTAATGTTCCGTAATTCTCGTAAATGTTTGCAACTCTCTCTATTTTTCATATTTTACGTACTTTAGCGTAATTCCCGTAATTTTTCGTAACTTTTCAAAAATTATCGTTATTTTCGTAATTTTGAAATGAGGAAAAACGAGGATAAAATCGTGGAAAGTGATGATAAAATCACAAAAAAAAGGGTCAAAAATCGCAAGAAAAATATGAGTCAAAAATTTCAAAAAGAGTGAATTTAAACTCGCGGAAAAGTAAGATGAGACTCACGGAAAAATGAGGATAAAGTCACGAAAAGTAAGGATAAAATCGCGGAGAATGAAATATGAATCGCGGAAAAGTGAGGATAACATCGCAAAAAAAAGTGAGACAAGAATCGCGGAAAAATGAGATTATATTTACAGAAAAGTCGATTTACAATCGTGAAAAAGTGGATTTAGAATTGCGGTAAGTGATGGTAAAATTGCAAAAAAATGAGTCAAAAATAAAAAAAAAAATATTTTTCAAAAATCACAAAAAAAATGAGGTCAAATTAGCGGAAAAGTGGAGATAAAATCGCGGAAAGTAGGGGAACAATCGCGGGAAAATGAAGTAAGAATCGCGGAAAAATGAGGATGAAATAGCAGAAAAATAAGTTTGTAATCGCCGAGGAGTGAGAGCCAAAAATCGCAAAAAAGTGAAAACAAAATTGCAAAAAAGTGGGTCAAAAATCACAAAAAAAATGAGTCAAAAATTTCAAAAAAAGTGAGTGTGAATTTGTGAAAAAATGAGGTAATATTTGCGGAAAAGTGGGTTTACAATCGCGGAAAAGTGATAGTAAAATCTAAGATTTCTAAATTATGACGTCATCAAATTGGATTTTTCAATGAATAATAAATTCGAAGCATCTTTCCTACATAAAATTATTGAATTTGACATTTATCAAAAGATCCAAACAACCAGCACCTTGTTTTACAGGTAATGAAATGTCTTGTCAGTTTCTTGAAAGTATGTCGTGGTCAGTAATTATTTTTGCTAGAAATGCAACAAAATACAGAAGAAAGAGAAGATTGCATCGATCCCTTGAAAAATATAGATAAGGCGGCCAATCGGGCTACCTCAGTTGTTCCAATTTTACCATTAATATCAATGTAAATAACTAAAAATACAAACATTTTTGACGTTCGCTTTCAAAATTTGATGTTTCATTTTTAACACTAGTGCTATAAAGACTTTATGGCACTAGTGCGATAAAGTAACATTTTTAATGCTTCGAGGGGGTGTTAAAAATTGCATTTTTGACACGTTTGTAGAAAAAGTTTTTTTTTTTAAAGATAAAAGTCAAAATGACATTAAGTTGGCAATGCAACCCCAAAATTTACTTGTTGGTAAATAAACCGATCTACTGGAAAATAAATAAATAATTCATAATTCGAAATTAAACATAAATTTCTAAGTGGCAAATTTGCCAAATATACTGAAAAAAAAAACCTAAAGAAAATGATAGAATAGCATCCATCTATGATATTCGTTGGTAAATTATCAAATATGTGCTTAACTTCCTAATTCCTTTTGGCACGCGTCTGTCTCCCTATGCACGCAAAGCAAATATTTCACTTTAATAACTTCATTCAGAGAAGCAGACACGGATGCTGGCTCGCTGGCTGGACGCTGAATCAACAGTACTGACAACTCGGCAACAGTGGGCAATAGACTCGAGCCAGCGTCCACACCGGCAAAAGCCGGCGTCCATCGAGGTATCAAAAATCAGAATACGGACGAGACTTCTAGAGACGTTAGTCTATAATATTCTTTGGTATTATTTGGATTAAATAATGTATGTTGTTATATTGATAACATTCTGATCTGGGACGAAGATTCAGATTATTATGAAAAGAAGGTAGACCAAATTGGTCTAAAAAAATTAGGTAATCAAGTGTAGATTTTATTTGGAATACACTATTGATAGTGACGGTATTATACCATATCTAACCTACTAAGAAAGGCATTTTAGCTACAAGGATGGCCCCAAAACCACATAAAGTAACTACATTAAGGGCATTTCTCGGGTTGATAAATTTGTACAGTAGATTTATGCTACATTGCACGAGTTGCTCCAAAAAAATCAAAATTGGATTTGGATAAAGGAATGTGATGAGTGTGTTATAGAATGCAAATCCCTATTATTTGGGGGTTCAAATATTTAAACTTATTATGACTCAAGTAAACTGATAATTCTCACATGTGACGCATCACAATATGAGTTGGGGGTTGTATTAGCTCATGACACTGATGGCGTTCAAAGACCAATTTGTTTTGCTTCATGCACTTTTGATAAAGCAGTACATATTCTCAATTGGAGAAAATAGCTTAGGTATAATTTTTGGGATTATACATTTTCAATCAACTCTGATCATAGGCCTCTAGAAACTATTTTTGATCCAAAAAAAGGAATACCAACCTAAGCTGCTGCTGGAATTTAAAGATAGACACTACTTTTATCATCTCATACACTCATACATATGAAATTAAATATGTTAAAGGAGTAGAAATTGCTCATGCATATGCTTTGTCAAGGCTACCTTTGGAAATTACACAAGATAAAAGTGCGGCAGACATAAACTATTTTTCATGTGTAGAGGAAAAGCCCTTGTGTGCTATTGATGTTGCTAAACATCCACATGAAGATGTAATTTTGTCTCAAATTCAAGAATTTGGTTGGCCAAATTATAATAATAATAAGCTTATCAATCCATTCTGCGTTAGAAGGTTTGAATTATCCATTGATATAGATTTTCTTTTATGGGGTAGACGAGTAATAAAACCTGAATCTCTTTAAACAAAAATTGTAAAATTAATTCATGAGCAGCATTCAAGTATGATGTGTTCCAAAATGTAAGCAAGAAACTTAGCATGGTGAACAGTGATTTGGAACTAACTGTGAAAAATTGCATAGTTTGTGAAAGTCTAGTAATTCTAAAACTGAACCACATGTAAAGTGGCCAACATGTTCTCAGATATTTGAGCGCATACACATTGATTTTGATGTAAAAAATGGAAACTATTTTTCAATAATTATTATAGACACTTTTTCGAAATGAGCAGATATTAAATATATGCCTCTGCAGCAATTTCAAGTACTACAATTAAATAGTTACGAACTATTTTTGCTAATTTCGGTATTCCAGAAAAAATTGTTTCAGACAATGGACCACAATTTATTTCTGAAGAATTTGAAACATTTTGCAGAAAAAATGGAATTAACCATGTCAAAACTCTACCATACCATTTTAAATCCAATGGGGCTGAAGAAAGTACAAATTTTAAAACAAGCATTTTTAAAAATATCATTACAAAATAAAAATTTATCTATCCAATATGAACTTGATAACATTTTATTTGCTTATCGTAACACTCCATAAACTGTTACTAAGAAAACTCCAGCTGAACTATTTCTCAATCGTAAGCCTCGTACACGTTTAACAATGCTTCAATAAGGATGACTGTATGTAAAGACAAAAAGGGGGAAAGATGAAAAGTTGATTGAAGGTACTATTATGTTAACAAATATGTAGTATGTAGTTTGTCAATTTTCTTCTATCCTATTTTATGTCAGATATTGTATAATAAATCATTATCTCTTGGAGTGTTTCCAAGATGCTGGAAACTAAGTCATGTGACACCAATACTCAAAAGTGGAGACAGATGTAACATTGAGAATTACAGACCAGTTGCTAAAACGTCAATTTTTTAAAAAGTTTTTGAGGCAATTATAACTGATAAGAGTGATAAGATCATACCTCTATTCAAGAACATCATCATACCAGAGCAACATAAATTTGTTAGGGGAAAATCCACAGTTTCAAACCTGTAAATCTTGGAGCAAACCCTGTGTGGTGCCTTGGAAGAAGGTCATCAGGTGGATGTAATTTATACAGACTTCTCCAAGGTATTTGATAAGGTTGACCACAAGATTTTTGGAGCAAAACTTGCGTCCCTGAGAATTCATGGTTTTTTTCACAAATGGCTAGTTAGCAATCTTACAGATAGAATTCAAAAAGTAAAAATCGAAAATTCTCTTTCCAATGACATTTGTGTAACCTCGGGTGTTTTGCAGGGAGGGCATTTGTCTCATTGTCTCCACTACTATTCAATTTGTTCTTAAATGATGTTAAGACTATTTTTAAAAGTTGAAGTTGAACAGGTGGAGGGAACTTTTCTCAAGATGACAAAAGAAGATTTGGCAGTTTTTGTTTCGAGCTTCTAGAACAGAAACTTCAAAGTATTTCGTGTAGCTTAATTTGTACAAGAACCTCATTAAAAACATAAAAAAGGGTCTAATGATGTCACATCAACAGAAATTATTAAATACAGACACATCAACGACAATATATGACTGTTCTCACAGAAATCACAAGCTAGTCAGAGCGTTTTTGATTGGTGCAAATCGCCAACAAACAGGTTTCTGACTATTTTCAACCAATGAAATTCGCTCTGACTGCTTTGTGATTTCTGTAAGAACAGACCTTATGACAAAGCATTCATCATTTGATCATAACTGATGATAATTCATTTTATGTTTAGCTTTTTGGTTCGCCAGTCTTGCATTTCATTTTCTTTTTTGTGTTAAGTGATTTCAGAATTTTTCAGTGTATTAATTGGATTGAAAGACACATCTATTTCACTTGTTGCTAATAATCTGATTTCAAAGCTAAAGCCTAAGTGAGCATTCACACCAAAGTAGCGACTTGCTGCTAGAAATCAAGAAGCATGCTACCTATTTTAGAACATTTAGAGATATATGGGTGGTTTCACACTGCAGTAGGGTAGCGAAAATGCGATGTGGCTACATGCGACGTGCGACTTGCTGCTAAAAAGCAGGAAACACGTCGCATGCTACTTTGGTGGGAATGCTCACTAAGGGCGATCCGTTGTCCTTTCTATGTATTGTATCTGTGACTGAGACTTTTTGTTTGCATCAAGCGAACAACAGGGAGCTGACACTTTAACGAAAAAACTTAAATCATATGCGTCACAAAATCTAGACATATCAATACATATTATCATAGGACAATATCCACTATGCCTACCTAAAGGTGTGTAAGACATTTTATAAAATACATGTTTATGAAATAAGCTATTAATAATTGAATTCTGGATAGGTAACAGCATATCAGATATAAAACAATATAAATCGCGTCAACCCCAGTGCTTTGGTTTATTTAAAATGTTTGATTTTATGTGTATGGTGTATAAATAAAGAGAAGAAAATTATAAAATAAAAATCAAACCTTTTAAAATAGAATTGAAGATTTTTGAAAAAAAAAAAAAGAAAAAAAAAGAAAGAATACTTACATCCATCCGAATCTAACCGGTTCTGAAAATCCTTAATTTGTTTCTCTTTTCGTTTTAGATCGATTACTAAGGCTTCGTTTCGTTGTCTGTATTCACGAAGATCCCTAAAAAAAATATCAATATGTTTTAGTCAACATAAAAAATTGCTAAAGTTAAAAGGCTTACTTTTGGGCTCCTAAAAGAGCTTCCCTTGTTTTACTTAAATCTTCGCTTATTGCTTGTTTAGCCTGAATTTCGCTTTGTAACGAACTTTGTAAATTGAGCAGCTCCATTTTGTCCAGCTTCTGAGACCTCCTGTTCCTCCAGTTTTTGTCCGGACCTCCAACAGTATTCGATACACCTAAATATCGATATTAGAAAAAAAATGCGAATAATTCTAAATTCTACCTGCGTGTTTGAGATAGTCCAATTCTTCAGTCATTTTGGTGGCTAGCGCTTGCAAGTAGGCCCTAGCGTCTTTCTCGTCGCTCACCCACTGAATAATTTCGGACAGTTGAGATTCCCATTGGCCGAGAGCGTCTTGCTTTGTCCGCAAAACCTCGTATTCTGTCTCGAGGTTGGCGCGTTCCGATTGCAGCCTGTTCATTGATTCCGTGAGCTGAAATTAGAAGGAAGTTGATTTGAAATAGGTACTTTTACTAGGGTTTGTAAATTAAAAAGAGAAAGTTAAACTTCAAAAATTTATATTCAAGAATCATCGAAATCAGCTAAGCAAAGAGCAATAAAACACTAAAATGAGTTTAATTTTACACCAGGAACCTCACTGCATCGTCTTGGGATTAAAGCCAACAGCCAACATGCATCCCAATAACCGAGATTTGAAAAACTTAAAAACCCATAAAATTGTACCTGGAGGCGAATTTTATATAAGTAGCCAACAACCTTTACCACCCTCAATATAAATGTCGAGTATCTAGCAGGTTTAGTTTAGGATGGTGCAGAAAAAAGAGTTGTTTTTGAATTGCCGACATTTCAACCCCAGAAGGGCAAAACAATAATACATGGACAATCAAAATACATAATATTATTGTCCATCCATTATTGTAGGCAAGTGTCTAATACCAGGATCTCTTTTAAAAGTACATATTCGGATTGGAATTGTATGTTTTTTCAGTAGTATATATCTCTTAAAACACTTATAGAATAGATTTTTTTGTACTGTCTTCGTTATGTATTAGCTAATACGTAATGTATAGCGCGGTGTGGACTGTAAGTTTTACTTTGCGGAGCAACCTCTAAATAATGATAAAAAGGACTTACTCAGTGATTTCGTAAGAGCTACTCCCGCAGGGCCCTGCTCTATACGCGCACTGCGGGTTATACTAATTTTTTAACATACTCAATCATCTAAGTTACCTATTGGGAATATTGGAATGACAACATAAACAGTTTATTAACCAGACGTTTAAATATTCTATGGGCTTAAGGATTACAACCCGAGTAATGCCGTCAGGACCAGGATGGGTTTCTTAGTTCATCTCTTAGAACGACTAAAGTTCCAATCTTAATGGCACATGGATTAGTATGGAACCATTTGTTGGGCTGTTGCAGAGTATGTAAGTACTCTCGTTGCCAACATTCCCCAGTTCCGGGATGGAACCAAAAATGGGTTGTGTTTTCTCTCTGCGGGACCTAAACCGTGCTGATGAGCTGTGATACAGCGAAACGCGTCCACGGATGGTCTTGCAGAGATAAAACACTTCTCAATCGGTCCTTAATTGGGCCGTTACCTAATTAATTTCCAGAATTGTTGGTGAAAATTTTGAAGTAATTCCCATCTGCTCAAACGATTTAAGCTTAAGGCGGACTAATCGGGATCAGTGATAGTAGATAATGATAGATACATAGATCTATCATTATCATTATCATTATCATTATCATTATCATTATCATTATCATTATAATGGAGCCAGGGTTGGGATCCGTGCTCAGCGCAGATAGCAGACTGGAATTTAGAACCGCTTCGACTTGGGTGAGCACTGTTCCTCGTAAGAGAGGATTTGGTCACTGATAAGGCGAACCAAATGGAATTTGATACTTTTGATACCAGCTTCCCACAATCCTCCAACATGCGGTCCAGCAGAAGGGTTAAAACGTTAATCGATGTGCAGCCTCAGCAAACACTTCATGGAGATATTTAGCAGCACCAACAAAGTTAGTGACAGTCGCTATGAGTCATCGAAACTCTACCACGACTTATAAACCGTCTTAAGATAGTGAGAAAAGCACAGGTGGTCAGATCTGAGGCAAGTTCGAGATGAAGGGCCTTTGTCGCGCAGCATACGAACAGACATAAATAGGCCTTTAGAGATTTGGTACCTCGAGCTGGAGTGAGGGTAATGAAAAAGGGACCGCCAAAGTCGACAGCGGAACATTGAAAGGGTTTTATCTGAGTGACCCTAAAGGAGGGTAAATCACCCATTTTGGGTTGCATGATTGGAAGGTTTACTCGAAAACAGGTAACAGGTAACAGTTTTCAGGAGACACGATATCCTGTATTTGGCTTACTTGATTGGCTACGAAGGTTTTCCATCGAAAAGCTGACGAATTAACGAGTCCAAGCGAGTGCAACCATAGAGTCTGACCAAGCGTAAATCCGCGTAAAGTTAACGTCTGCATAAGTGGCCAAGATAAATTTAGATAATTTTGCGGCCAACAAAGACGCACAAAGTTGTAGTCTAGGAACTGAAATACGTTTCAACGGTGCAACTTTGGTTTTTGCGTAAACCAAATGAGATTTTGTGGTTAGAGCAAAGAAAACGTGAATAGATCAATGACGAATAGATACATGCTGAATATCCTAGACTGAATGCATCTCCAAAGCCGTGGACCTCAATCGAAACATGAAGAAATAAAACAATGTCTAGAGATGCGTAAATTTAACAAACACGGAAGATCGGCCTTATATTTTTTCCATGTTTCTGCGATATCAGAGGGAGCCATATTATCTCAGGTGAGGACCCAGAGATTCTGCATCAACAATTTAGGCGCAAATGTAATGAGGGCAAGAAAGCCTAGAGGGTCGAAAATGCGAGCGATTTCCGAAAGTATGGACCGTTTAGAGCATTGTGTTTTTACAATATCTATTTCATAAGAAAATTTATCAAGGTAGGGATACCAACGAAGTCCTAAAACCTTGAAATAGAAATCTGCGTTGTCCATTGATATAGATGTCAATGTTTGGTGAATATCAGAAGGTATAGTTTATAAAAATGTCGAGTATACTCGACCACTTTCTCAAGTCGAAGCCTCCCAAGTCCCAACTTCAAGAGCTGGATCAATCCCTTTTTGATACGGATAGCTTCACTTACTGAATTTGTGAATTCGCTTCATCGACAATATCATTTACAAAAATTTGATGAAGAAGAACTCGGAATATTTTTGCGCCAACTCAAGAAGATATCATAAGGCAAGAAATGGCGCACTAGACACTCCATAAGTCACCAGTCTTCAGGACAAAATCTTGAAAAGGCTCTGAAGTGCTAAATCGCCAAATAATGCGTTGGTAATCCCAATGACCTGAATCCACTTAAATTTGGCGATACATCATCTTGATGTCAGCAGTGAAGACAACCCGATAGCAACGAAAGTTTAAAAGAATAGCAGTTATGTCCTTCTGAAGCTTAGGACCAGATAGAAGAGTCGCGTTCAGGGATTCGCCTTCTGTATTTTTTTGCGGATGCGTCGAAGACCACACGAAGCTTTGTTTGGATTTATCACAATGTGAAGAGGAATATAATATATTTTTTCCGGATGACCATGAGTTGGGAGGTCAGTTGCGATTTCCATGTGTCCCAGGGAGAGATACTCATGCATAAAATTGCCATGGGCTTTGTAGGTATGAGGATTGTTTTGTAGTCTCCGTTCCAGACTATAGAATCGCCGTAAAGCAATGGAACATGAATCGGAAAAAAGCGGTTCACTATTTTTGAATGGCAGGGAAACAATAAACTGTCCATGGGACGTGCAGCGGTGCGTATCCACAAACGAACTCTGGGCCAAGAGGTCCTCAGAAGATAGAGTGCTGGCTTGAGGAACTTCTTCAATTTCCCAGAATTGTTGCAAAATTGTAAGATCCTCACCTTTTACAGAAATTGAAAAGGTATAGAGTAGGTTGAAGTTTGAGAAGAACAACCTATTAAAAATATTATTTCTTCAAAAACTCATTTAAAAAAAAAAAAACGTTTACTGAATAGAAGTAAAATGTTGCAACCATGTATCCGCCGCGTTCGAGCGCCCCACAGAAACACGAAAGTACCGAAGCGAACGGGACATAGAAGAATACGCAACTAGACGACAGAAGAAAAATGCTCTGGGCCCTTAGATTCTTGTGGCGCGTCTAATTATTCATTTTTCAATTTTCATTCCTAATTTGCATTAAAATTAATTGTTCAATCAAATTTGTTATTAGTGTGTGTGCAAGGAACTTACAGGTTAGTGGATTAATCATTATTTTGTTTTTGAGAGTTCAATTTATGCAAGTTCCTATTATTTTGTTCATTTTTATGCATTTTTGTTTGTTTATAAAAAATTTTATAACATGTGCATTGTTTATGTATTTAACCAAAATCGTTTCATACTGTAAACAACACAGATAAAGAGTAAATTAGAACCTAAGAAATTATGTGCTGTCTTTTTGTGCTGAGATTTTGATTTTGTGGATTTAGAGCGTGCATTAGAGCCTTGTTGAATTTACTAACATTTTCCTACTCTGACGAGAGAATATCCTAACAAATTGAAATAATCAATCTATGGTTTATTTTTTTCCAAGATAGATTTTGGCATTGTGAATTTTGAAACATAAACAATGACGCTAATGCCACTTATTGGTCGCTATTGTAAAACTGATGTCAACCTGCAGAAACACCTCATTTTGCGACCAGTCAGGGTCAAGCGTTATTGTTTATGTTTCAAAGTTTTCAATGTCAAAATCTATCTTGGAAAAAATAAAGTATAGAGATATTGGCTCAAAAACAACTATAGCTGAGTAGCTTCCCGTATGGGACCTCAGTAACTGCTGGGAAACTGGCTAACTAACCAAAAACTCTTCAGTTTGGAATATAGGTAGTATTGATTGAATGTAATGTGTGTAATTGAAATTTTAGCACAAGAACAGGGGCGGTACCTAATTTGAACTTTTATTGACCTAAATTATTGAATTATTGACTCACAATTATTATTAAAATTACACAGTATGTTTCGACTTTTGGGGAATCGAGGTTTTCTCTTCCATTCTCTTTTTCCTCGTTAATTCCAGGGGTCGTATTTTCGAATATTTTCGCATACTAAATTTGATACGATTTCGAATGCTCCCCATTTAATTTACATTGCTGTCAAACAAATTTCGTATACGAAATGTACTCGAATGGTTTCAAAAATAATAAAGGAGGCGTTTCACAAATTTTTCGTTTCTTTCACATATTACAGCTTCCCTTAAATTTCCCAAATATTTGCTAAGTCGGGCGCATGTCCAGTAAGTAAATTTGAGTAAGTATCCACAATGTAGGTCCTATTTGTTTTTCATTTCATTTTTCAGAAGATTTGTTGTTTAAAAAGTAATAAAAATTCTCATCGTTCAATTTTACTGAGCGAACCTGG